CTCAGTTTAACCTTCTAACATTTTCCCCCACTATGATCCAACCCAAACCTCCGTTCTAACCCAACTGGTTTCCTCACTGGCCCTAAATATCCACCGTGGCCTCAGCGGAAAGCCACTTCCCCTGCCAGGAATTCTCTCTCTGCAGTCCTGAGGCCAACCTGTCCTTTGGGACTAGTGCAAGCCCTCCTTGCACTGAGCATTTTCTGGCTGATCCCAACCTCTGGGGATTCCAAGATCCCGGACTCCTCCCATGCTTTTAGGACTTAACCACACACTGCCTTATCTTGTTCTATAGCTTATAGGGAGTTTGTTTTTCCTTCTAATTACATTGCAAGTTCAGTGTAGTGTCGTGGAAGTAACAACAGCCCGAAAGCAGAGACTTGGCTTCTCTTTCTAACGTGCTGTATAACCCTGGGCAAATAGAAGTGGATAGGGAAACTCTTAAGGTACTTTTTCTTAAATTTAGGGTCCTCTCCACAAGGCCCATCTCAGTGAGATGTATATATAATTTCACTAAAAAAATTCAAACATTTGTTGATTATTTATTCCCGAATTAAGCTAGGTGCTAAGGATGAATAAAGGCAACACATGCAAGGCTTGCTCTCAAAGAACTTTCAAGGGAGGGTGAGATGCACATACTCACTGGTGGAACTTACTGAACGAGTGTCAGGAACTAAAAGGTCAGGAACTAGTAGAGTTTCTGTCTGATAGTTGCCGTGGTCTCCCCATTCCACTGTTTGGCCCTGTGGCTGAGTTATTCTCTTGAGTCCCATCGTCTGGCCTGTTCCAACGCCCGCCCATGCACACCTCAGAAGGTGCTCACTATGACACACACACACACACACACACACACACACACACACCACACACACACACACTCTCTCTCTCTCTCTCTCTCTCTCCCTCCCTCCCCCACCCCCCACCCCCTTTGGCTTTGAGGTCAACTGTGCTCCTGTCCAGGTGAGGTTGCCCCAGGTTGCCCCAGTCAGCAAGGCTTCCCTACCCTCTGCCCTTCCATCACTGTCCCTGGAACCTGCAGTCAGTCCCTTAAAGCTGAGCGTGGCCTGATAAGATTGATCTGGCTGCAGTATACAGTGGGAGACAAGAGGGAAGAGGGTTGGGACTCTATGAAACCCTGCCGATGGCCAGACAGAGTGATTTCTTTGATGGCTTTATTACATACCAAGGGCTGTCTGGTACACTTTACCTACATTAGCTCATTCAGTCCTCACACATCCCTATCAGATAGGTACAGTCATCATCCTTGACTACAAATGAGAAACTCAAGGCAGAGAAAAGTCGAATGACTTGCCCAAGATCACGAGGAGGCGGAGAAGTCAGGACTGGAACTCAGTCCACTCTCCCAACCCCCAGATGAAACGGCCTGCGGCTGCAGTACTCGGGGAAGGTTTTCTTTTCTGCCAGCTGCGATCTATTTCCTGGAGCTACGCCCGACACACTGAAGGTAATAGGCAGATGCATACTTCCCCCTTGGTAATGAACTCGAAGGTGTCAGCTAGATCGGCAGGACTGGAGCTGCCGGTTTCAGGGTATTCCGTTTGACCCCAAATGGCAGGAAGGGAGCAGAGCAGAGACAAGACCCTGGCGAGAGGTCTGAGTTCTTGTCTAGGTTGGGTTCTAGGAAACCTTTTCGTTTTCTGCAGCTCAATCCCCACCTTAGGGAAGGGAGCTGAGCAGCCCCGCGTCCCTCGGAGGTAGGAGAGGCGTGGGCAGGCCGTACAATGCGGGTCTGTGTGTGCAGGGGCCGGCTCCGTGCGCAGAGGCAGGAAGGCGGTGTGTTTGTGCAGCAGGGGCTCGCGAGTACGTCGGTCTCTGCAGGGCGGGGAGGAAACAGGGCAGGAGGCTGGGCCGGGCGGGGATGTGGGGGAGGAGCTGAGGGCGCCCGGCTGCGAGCGGACCCCGTGCCAGGAGGCGCGGCGGCGGTGGCGGAGGCGCCGGCGAAGCCACCGCGAGGACCAGCGCAGCGCGGGAGAGGCGGGCGGGCGGGCCGAGGCGCCGGCGGGCTCGGAGGAGGCAGGGAGGAGGGAGGCGCGGCCCAGCCCGCCCCGCGCCGCCGCCCTCTGGGCCCACGCAGGCCCCGCCCACAACACGAGTCACGTGTGCGCCACGCACCCTCCCCGGGCGAGGGCTGGGGGCGCGCGGGCAGGCGGGCGGGCCGCGACGGGGTCCCTGGGGAGGAGGCTCCGGGGGCGACCCGGGACGGGGCGCCGGGCCGAGTCACGGCCGCAGGCGGACGCCGCGAGGGGGAGCGCGGGCGGGCGGGCGGCGCGGGGCGGGGCCTGTCGCTGGGGCTGGCGCAGGAAACGGGGAGAAGGGCCGGTCCAACTGGCTGCCAGTTTGGGCCGCTTGTTTACTCCTGGCGGGGGAGCTTTAACCCGAAGGGCGGGAGGGCGGGAGGGAAAACCTGGAGCCGGATCCGCGGGCCGCGGAGCGGGAGCGGGGCGGAGGCGGGGCGGACGGAGGGACTGCGGAAGGTGCCAGGGCCGCCGCGTTCCTGGAAGGGCCCGGCTGAAGCTGCCCTGGAGAATTTGTTTTTGGGTTGTTTTTTTTTTGGTGTGTGTGTGTTGAATTTTCTCGCCTGTTCAGTTTTCCCTCTTCCCGCTTGCACCCTCTCGGGACACATACACACGAGTTGGTGAAGGATTGCCCGCCCGGAATCTCTGCGGCCCTGAAAAATTGCTCGTGTAGCGGGCTCCTCAGAGAGGAGGGCTGTGCCTACGTGCTCCTAGGGGTCCCTGCCTAGTCTACGTGCTTGTTGTTCCGAGAGGGTCTCTGCCACTTAATCCAGGAAATGATTCACTTGCATTATCGTCATATATTTTTGCATGCCTGTGCGTAGCTACAGTTACACAAATAAGTTAATTTTAGTCTAAATCTAGGCATTCTAAGCGTCTTGGGCTTCATTTCCCAACTTGTATGGTAGATGAAATAATTTTTCCGTAAAAATGTGAAGCGCCCCATAAATGTATTTGCATAAAAAAAGCAGGCACTGTTGCAATGCTGTCCCCTACTCAGTTTTTCATTATCTAAAAAAATCACCTGTTACCATACAGAGATTCTGTAACATGTGATGTAATACTATAGTAGTAACTACCATCAACCGTTTTATACCTGAGGAACTGGGCTCAGCAAGTCGAAGTGGCTTGTCAGAAACCACCCAGCTAGTAAAAGAGCACAGGAACACAAATGGCCTTCCCTGCCTCCCTCCATTTGTGCAGTGGACATACGTAATTTCCTCTGTGTGGCATTCATTCCTTTGGGACATTGGTTCTCTATTCCCTGTGGTTTTATTTAGGCTCAAGACCACAAAATTCCATCCCTCCGGCAGCAATGGTGCAAAGGGTGGGCATTTTAATTAAGCCAAATCAACTAGAGTCTTTCCATGGAACTAATACATGAATGCCAACAGAGAAAAAAAAATTTTTTTTCTGCTGGTTTTGCTAAACTGGAATGTCATAGCTGCTAGCTGCCAGGAACAGTTTTCCTAAGTGTATGAAGGAAACTCTTTTTGGGGAGCGGGGTTGGGAAGGGCCTCTTCTGAAGTAGGACAGAACTGGACCAATAAGAAAGGGGCAAGAAGAAATGAGAGACCTAGAACACAACCGAGGATAGCTTTGTTTAAACCTGGGGTCTGGCTGCGTCTGTGGCCGGTACAGACTCCCGGACTTCCCAGTTAAATGAGCCAACAAATTCGTTTTTTTGCTTAAGCTAGCATGAATTGAGTTCCTGTCACTTGTCTCCACAGAGTCCTGACTAATGTTTGGCACAGGATTATTTATATATCCTCGGAGAATAATGGAAGTTGGGTGCTGGCCACAACTATCACTTCTAAAGTACTCTAGTTCCCATGAGTCATACCAAGTGTGAGTCCTACGGATATGGGTAGACAGAAGAAAATATAATTATTCCTCAATATTATTACATGATAAACAGGACACAATTCAACAAACCCAAATTAGAAGTTGGATAGATAACATTTCCCCTTGGGATGTTGTGATGGTCTGAATCATGAAAAGGATAATGTTGAGATTTTGAGATAGGATTGTTAGAAAGTTTTTCGTGAAATGGTAAAGAAAGAGGAGCCGATAACAGCTACTCTGTCAGTTAGTTAAAGCTGAAGGCTGGGAAGGTGAGGGGTCTGTTCTAAAGAAGTAATCAGAAAGACAGGATATTGAACCACGAAGATCAGGGGCATTTCTAGTTACGAATCTTAGGGACAGATGGGGTCCTTGAGAGATAACCCTTCTTCCTCCTGAACAGTTCTGGTGATGGACGTCTAGGTGAGTCACCAAGCCAGAGGTGGTCCGTGGTCCAAGGAACACAGAGGCGGATGGTCCTTCCCATCCTTTAAGGGTCTGGGGATAAAATTGTAGAGGCACTGTGTGTGTTCCTTGGTGACTCACCAGAGAGACTGGATCTGGTCTGATACTGTTGTCATGAGAGGAAAAAGAAGAAGAAGAAAAATTTTAATGTGTACAGTACCAACCCCTTGCCACTTCCTGACCTCCAGGGGTAGGATTCTTGGCTGGATCACTCAGCTACTAGTTTTTTGTTTCATTTGTTTTATCGAAGTATCATTGATATACAATCTTATACTTGGTTTCAAGTATACAACACAGTGGTTCAACAGTTACCCACATTATTAAATCTTTACCCCATTTGCTCGGTTTTTGACAAAGTTAAGAAACAAAAGTCAGGGGCAGACTTATTTCTCCATTTGAGAAAGAGGGAGAGAGGTGGGGAGGGGTAACAAGGAAGCAAACAACGTTGAGGACAGTGGACGAGAGAAGGAGGAGAAGGGGAGAGAAATAGCTGTAGGATTTTGGGGCAGAAATTTGAAAAGAGGATTTGTGGAAGCTTTGCTGTGTGTGCTGAGATGAAATTCCTCCTTGGCTTTCTCCTGAGGAGAATGTCAACAGAGACACTAGTTTTGAGGCTTTTTAAATTGACTTTGTTTTTCTCTTGGCTGTGTCACCCAGATTTCACAGGTTTGCCATCCCCAGCTAACTGAAGGTGCTGTGGCATCTCACCTCCTGCACCTTTTCCCAAGACAGAAGAAATGAGAGGGACAATAACTTCCCTTTATCAAGTGGTGTGCTAGCTTGTTGGCAATGGGGCCAGTGGATGCTCAAGTACGTGGTAGTAATCATCTTGCAGCCATTTGGGTTTAGTATTCTGTCAAAGAAGTCTAGCAGGTCGGGGCTGGTGAATTTTAAAGATTCTCTTCAGGGCAAACCATTTGGATAAGGAGGTAAGCCATGAGAGATGAAGAGAAATATCAGAGGGATAACAACCTAGAATGGTTTGGGAGGGGATAGAAGTCTGGTTCCTACACACAGTAGATCTTCACTCCCATATTTGGGTGCTAAATGACCGAAAACTCAGTTGATAGCCATTTCTTTTGTCCTCAGGTATCATGTAAAGCTTCTCAGGGTGATCTGAAAGGCAATCAGTTGTCTTGTCAGATGGAGAAGGATGGGCTTTGGTGACTGAACAGTTAATAAGTAAAAAGATTATGAGACTGGCCAGGTCTAAAAGAAGTATTGGAAAATCGGAGTGCTCCCAGGTGAGAACATGCAAGAGGGTAATTGAACAGCATTTTATTTCTTCACATGATTTCTGCTCTTATACATAAGATTATTAAGGCAGGATGTGGCCTAGAGCTAGATGAACTGTAGGTTAACAGAACCAGTATGGTGACTGGGTGTATTGTCAAGGTAAGATTAAAGGTGTCATGGCAAGTATCTGATTGCTTTCTCCAGAAAAACAAACATCAGGGAGGCCCATTCCTCCCATCTAATTCAGACAGGTCTATAAAAAAAAGGAGAAACTTTTTGTCAGTAAATGATTTAAACTTGAAAAACTTAAATTAGAAGAACCTAGGTTTCAGACCTTACTATCCATACTGAAACTCAAGAGGGCATTCGATGGTGTGTGGTAATCCCTGTTTGCTGACTGCAAATACTGTACGATGTCTGGGGCAAACAGGGAAGAGTGCCTGCTGTTCAATTCCGAAGAGCCAGAAATTGTTATGAAAATGATTGGCAGCATTTCAAGTGCTTTAAGAAACAGGCTTTTATACTTGGAGTTTTCTCTGATTGGCTAGCAGGTTTATGGGCTTAAAAAAGAACTGTTTTCATTTGTCAAGAAGTCATTCAGCTGATCAGCCTGAAATCCTGGGTGCTGGCTAGTTAGCACATCCCTGGTGTGCCCCTGTGGAAACTGCACTTGCCAGGGCTTTCTGGGGCTGCCACTCCACAGTGTGTGGAGTATGTGTAGGGCATCCTGAGCCCTTGGTGAACTCCTCCACGATCATTCCCCCCCATAGGAATAAAACAAAATCTGGGCCATCCTTAACAATCTGGGTGGTTCGGACTGTGGCAGGCACACCTGCCTTAGGCAGGAGTTTGGTCCCACACAAGAATAAGGAAGAGTGGCAGACCACCTACATGGAACTAATGAACAAAATGGGATCTTTTTGAGAAGATAAAGCATAACAGCTTGGCAAAAAAAACAAAAACTCCAGTCAGTTCACTAGAGAAAAGGCCACCAGCCCCTCTTCTGGGGGACTACTGCCCTAGGAGGGGGGGTAAGAATAGAAGCCTTAGAAGCAAAGTCACATGACAAAAAACACGGAGCAGAAAGTAATTACTGTTGATTGGAACCGGAGAAACTAACGTAGGGGGTGGCGCGGGTGGGCATTTCCGGCAACTATCTGCTTCTTACTTTGCTTGCGCTTCATCTCCCCCTTCTCTCTGTTGATAGCGACTCAATCTGTTTTTCTAGAAACATTTGCTATCTAGGGGGTGAGATGACCACCCCGCCTCTCCCACAAAGTATAAGCCGGTCCTCTTCCCTTTCACAGCCTGAGATTTCCTGTCCTTTTCCACCTTTTTTAAAAGTTGTTTATCTTTTAAACAGTTCTGCGTTATCTCCCTTTTGGGCAGGAAAAGCTGCCCACTTCAGCCCATTGTAAGGACTTTCTATGGGAAGACTGCAGAAGTTACAGCGCAGAAGCCTACTGGAGAAGGACTCCCAGTGAGACTGGCTGCTGCTCCAGAGTATTTTGAGTTGAGCTGAACTGGTATTTTCACCACGTGGTATTTTCCTGTCCCTGGTTCGCTTCAGAGTGAGAGCCTTGTCTAGATGTTCTTAAGTCTGCACACACATTCTTTCCTTGGCCTTCCACTCTGGTCTCAGTTACTAGCACCCCCCGTGGGGCACTCTGTAGAGTGAAGCTGGAGATGCTCCACCTTCAAAATGGCACTGTTCTGGATTTTATCTTCCTGCCCTGAACCGTGAGATAAACATTCTTTTAATCCCCATTTTTTATTCACTCACTAGAAAGCAGACAGGGTTGTTCCAGAATGCGTTCCCTGTGTCATAGAGATCACAGAAGTGTAAAAGGGAAAACCAGATGTGCACACAGAGCCTGCCTGGGCTTACACATTCTTTCATACCCAGAGTCATAGGGCTTTATGGTCCACGTTCCCAAAGCCGGTTCATTTTTTTCCTTGTTTGAATATGTACTCTTGCTCTTATTCAGAATCTCAGAGTTTCAGGGCTGGGAGGAAGTAGGCACAGCTCTGGGTGTTTATGCACTGGGGGGTATCTGTGGGTATCTCCACACACCTGGGGTTTGTTTGCTTGAAAGTGCGGCTGTGTGCAGATCTAAGCAAACTATTCAGGGATACCCTTAGGCTTTGAGCAACCTACTTGCAACCTATCAATCCATGAAATGCAAAGCCCACCTTCTCCAGCAGAGCCTTACAGATTGATTAGATCAGAGGGAGGCTGTCATTTGCCCCAGGCATACTTGCAGATAACTTTCTCTTTAGGACTTTTGAGTCAGTGAGCCTTTTAGAGTGAAAATGCATAAAGTAGATGCTGGGCCTGTTTTTGGCTATTAGGATACACTGTGATTTTTCTCACTCAGAAGAGAAGCCTGAAAGTATGCTATGGATGCAAAATTCAGAGTATTATCCTTTTCATTTGAAACGCAGAGCCTGGTTTGAGGTTGGGATTTGGAAGCTGTGTGCAGAATTGCATCACAGAGGTAATAGAAGTTCCTAGTCTAAGTGGATGAGAAGTAGGGGGCAAACAATTGGGCAGCTGGCTTCTCGATGTCCTTTTGTAGGAGAGCTAAATTCTGGAGGGACTAGCTGGGACTAAAGTAGTGGATAGGGACCTGGGTCAGGAGTAACTTTTTGCTAGTCTAAGTAGACGCTTGATTCATCATTATTTCTTGAATGAGTACTATATGCTAGCCACTGTTGTAGAGGGTGAGGATACAGCAGTAAGCAAACAGTCTCTGCTATGCTTGAGCGTATAGTTGAGTAAATGGAGAAGGCTGTCAGGTGGTCATGAGTGCTGAGAAGAAAAATAAAGCAGGGCCAAGAATGGTGGGATGGTGCTATTTGATAGCTCAGTGAGGGAATACCTTTCTGTAAAGGGTGCATTTGAGCAGGGACCTGAACCAAGCTATGGACGCAGTCACGTGGATATTTGGAGGACGATCATTCCAGCCCAAAGGAACAGCTTTGGGAAGTTGGGAGTGGGTCTAAGGAACAGCAAGGAGGCCAATGTGGCTGGTGCTGGGTGGGTCAGGGAAGAGTGATGGGCAGTAGGACCAGAGAGTTGATTGGGGGCAAGACTATGTAGGGCTTTATAGTGAGGGAGGTGGGAAACAATTTAAAGGTTTGAGCAGAATAGTGATCTGGTCTGAGTTAGTCTTCAAAGGATCACTCTGGCTGCTGTAGTGTTGAACAGCATGTAGGCAGCTAACAGAAAAAGCAGGGGGACCAGTTAGGAGCCTGTTGTGGAAATCCTGGGCACAGTAATGGCGGCCCAGCTAGGGAAGTAGTGCTCGACATGGAGGGACAAAGCCAGATACTGGATATATTTCACAGACAGATCCAACATGATTTTCTGGTGGGTTGGATGTGATTATGAGAAAAAGAAGAATTAAGGATGACCCAAGTGTTTTGTTTGTTTGTTTCCTGAGTAACTAGAAAAAATGGAAGTGCCATTTACTGAGATGGGGAGAAGCGATTTTGGAGGGAAATCAGAAGTCTGTTTTTGGACATGGTACATTTGAGATGTGATTAGATAGCCAAGTGAAGATGCCAAATAAGTAATTGGTGACAAGAATCTGGAGCTCAGGAAGCCAGATTAGGTATCAAATGAGGCTCTGGTGCAACCTGAGGGCTCAGTTAATTCCACAGATCTCATCCTGTTCTAAAAATAAATGGTTAGAAAGTCTTCACCAAAAAGAAAAAAAGAAGTCTTCACTGGCTCTGGGCTCTACTGAGCATCTGAGGCATGCTTTGAACCAGGGATTGTCCAGACTATAGATGGAATAACTCTGGTCATTCCCCCAGATCCAACTAGCTATTCATTATTAACCACTGTTTGTCAAGTGCCTACCACCTGCCAGGCACTGTGCCAAGTGTTCAGTATTCAATGGGCAACGAGACATGCTCCTTGCCCTCATAGAATGGCTACTCTCGTAGCGGGTTAGGACAAGGGAATGGAGATTTCTGTACAATGCATGCGTGGGAGTCACTGTGGGTGCTTGGACCTGAAGGATAGGCCCCTGATCAGGAGAAAGTGCCAGACAGAGCAAGTGCTATGCAAGGTGACGCCTGAAGGGTGAGTAGCAATAGGCAGGTGGAATAGCAAGAGAGAAGGGTGGCGAGTGTTTTAGACAGAGAAAGGAACATGCATCAAGAAAAGTCTGTTCAAAGGACAGAAGTTCAGTTCAGCATGTCCAGAGGGCAGAGTGGAGGGGGCAGGAGCAGAGACAGGCAGGTAGTGGCTGGAGAAGTAATTGAGAGCCATACCCTGAAGGATCTTCGTGAGCAATGCTGGGACTTTATTATAAAAAAAAAAGCTATGGGAAGGCTTGAAGTGTTTTCAGCAGAGGAAAAAGGCGAATGTAAAGAATTAGTTACAGGGAGGCAAGCCCGGAAGCAGTTATTCAGGGGATTTGGGGAGAGTGGCAATTTCAGACTCATACTGCCCTAAAAATCACCTATAAATGTGTCTGTACAACATGAAGCAGGGCCTGGGTCTGCTTTGCATAGTCTCAGTAAACAGGAGATGCTCTCTGAGGAGCTAAATACTTTGATGGGAAAGAGGTACAAGATGCCTACATTTTAATAGGCAGCCAGGAAGTGGGAGGAAGCAAGGTGAAGGGCAGTCTAGATCTGGGTGAGGCAGCCTCTAAGACGGGCAAGCCCCAGGCATGGAGGGCCGGCCAGAGAAGCTAAAGTCAGGAATTAACAAGCCTATGGTCTTTGTGAGTACACCCTGCTGTGTGTGATGTGTGTGCTAGGCAGGGTGCGTTCAGGACAGGGCCTGGATTCTGTGTGAAGGTACTGAGGGCTGTGTGCGTGTTTGGGAATGGATCTTTGGGATGGGGAGTTCTCCTGGAGTCTGTGCTCATGTGCGGAACTCTGGAATGCACACTGTGCAAGTACAGACCTGCAGTAGGAGGGGATGTGTGTGTAACACAGGCTGTGAGAGAACACATGCTTTTCGATGGCCTGTGCTCCCAAGACACAAACAACAAGCCATGGGTCCTGTTCAAGTTTAGAGACTCTTAGTTCACTCTGCACTCAGCAGGCACTCAGTATTTGTGAAATGGATGATTGTTTCTGCTTTATTAAAGTTCAATCGTTTTAGGAAATATAGAGGTTTGGTTACAAGTTTGAACTACATGTTTTAAGGTAAATAAACTCACAGCCAGGTCCCAACATCCATTTACAAAACCTAATAACTTAAATACTGTAATGGAGTTTACATCCTACTTTGTGTAAAATGCTTCACTGTTCCGTTTTATTCAACAAACATTTGTTGAACAGGGTACACAGGCAGCACTGGAACTCATCTCTTTCTCCTGTGAGACACCTTAGTCTGGTTGCTGCAATTAAAGCTTAATTATATGCTATCTTGTATTGTTTCTTAATTGTGGCACGTTCATTAATCACTTCCAACTAGGCTCAGTGTTCCTTGGGGGCAGGGACTATCTTATAAACTTCAGGATAGGTGAGAAACTTAGCAGAGACCGGACTACCCAGAAGTAAGTAAACACCCACTGTTTAAGGAGAAAGGAAAGCAGGAATATAACGCTGTGTATGAACTGTCATAATACAGAGTACCTAATGAGATACCTTAATACTAAGGGAGCACACATTGTTAATTAAAACATTCCTTTAATAATGATAAATTCTAGTCTGTATTTTCATGTTAAATGAATGTTTTGTGTATTAATATAATAGCTGTGATCCCCACACAGCTTTCAGGCTTTCATTGTTGTTCTTTTTAATGGAAAACAAGAATGCCTTGAGGATGAGTGTTACAAGGTAGAACCAGTCTTTGGTGAATTAGTCCACAGCAGAATTGTCCTATAGGAGGATTTGGCACTAAGGGATACTTTGCTGCACAACTGGCCACCTATTAGATGATAGCAGCACCCCCCCCCTCCCAAGTTGTGAGATTCAAAAATGTCTCCAGGCATTGCCAAATGTCTCCTGGGGACAAAATCACCCCCAATTTGAGAACCAAGGTTCACGGGAATTTTGTATTTTTCTTACATAACAAATCGTGGGAGATGGGGGAAGGGAAATACTATTTATTTCTCATATGGCACAGCATGTACCTATGCTTTTTATTTCATCTTACAGATAAAGAAGCTGGGTTTCTGAGAGGTAAAAGAACCTGCTGAAGATCATAAAGGCAGTGCCGCAGTTAAAACCAGGCTTGCAAACCAGGCTTGTCTGACTGCAAGGCCCTTCGTGCCTTCCAGCGCCCTCCCCGCCGCCTCTGCAGGGAAAACAACATACTTCAAATCGAAGGAGAACTGCTAACTCAACAAGTATGCCCCAAAATACTTAAAACTTTGAGGGGGAGGGGAATTCTCTTTTCATTAAATTGATTTTAATGTGACTATATACACTCATTACCTACAGACACTGGGGCCCCTCCCTACTGTTGCGGCTCTGGTCTTATCTTTGAAAAACACAGAGCAACACAATGGAACAGCTTCAATTCTCCTTGTTACAAATTATACAAAAGCCAGGGCCTAACGGTGCCAAAAGCAACCGGCACTGTTTACATAAGGGCTGGAAGCTAATCGTTAACTTTCTCCCATTTCATTCCAGAAAGAGTAAATAACGCCCGACTTTACAACCACAAACGAGTCAAATCATGTAAAAATGTCATAAAACGGAGAAGGAAACACTAACCCAAAAGGAAAATGGAAAGGCTGGGTGCACGGCCCCCTCCCTCTGGCGCGGAGGGCCGCGCGGCCTGGGTCCCTCGGCCCCGCCGCGCTCCCGGAGTGCTGGCCTCCCTTCCCGCCCGGGGCCGCGCGCCGCCTCTCTCGGAGGAGCCTCCCCCGGGGCCGGACCGGGAAAAACAACCGCAAGAAACTTTGGCTCGACTTGCGGCTCAGCGCAAAAAGGGCCAACGCTCAAGTTTGGTCCGGGCTGCGGCGGCCGGTTCCGACTCGGGGGGAAGGGGGCCGGGTGTCACGGCCCGGTCAGGCCCAAGCGCGCATGTGCGCGAGGAGTCCCCCGGGCACTTACGGAGCGCCCACTGTGCACGGGCGCCCGGGCTGTGCGCCCCGGGCGCGCGGGGGGCGGGGGCGGGGGCGGCGCGGGCGAGCGCCCGGGCTGTGCGCCCCGGGCGCGCGGGGGGGGGGGCGGGGGGCGGCGCGGGCGGCGGGAGGTGTGTCCCGGAGCCGAGCTGGCTCGCTCGCTCGCTGGCTGGCGCGCTCCTGCGCTCCCTTCCCGGGCGGGGAATCCGGGCCGGGTTGTGGCCGCGGCCGCGTACGTGAGCGCAGTGTCCCGGAGAGGGAGGGCAGGCCGGCCAGGTGGGCGCGAACCAGCCTCGGCGGGAGAGCGGCCGGAGCCGAGCGGGGCGGCGGGCCGCGCCGGGTGGGCGGGCGGGACCGCGGCCGCTGCAGCCCGGAGCTGAGCCGAGCTGCCCGAGCGGGAGCTGCCCGGCCCGCGCTGCTGCTCGCGGCGGGCGAGGTGAGCTGCGCGGGGACCTGGCGGCGCTGCAGCGGGGGGCGCGGGCGACCCGGAACTTCCCACGCTCTGCACGGCCGCAGGGCCGAGCCGGCGGCCGGGGCCCGGCGCCGGGGGGTGGGGTGGGGGCGGGCAGCGGCCGGCGGGGCGGAGGGCGCTGCGGCAGTGCCTGCGGAGGCTGGGTGGGGGTGGTCGCCCGCTCTCCCCTGCGCCGCCTTGTTTATCTCGCCCGCTGCGGCCCCAGCGGAGGAACCCCCTCCCCAACTTCGAGCAGTTGTCCGGAGTCGCCTCTCCGACGGCGCTGACTTGCCCCCTTCCTGAGCCTTTCGGGCTGGGCCGCCCTCCCGGCGCCCCGCGCGTTCCTGCCCACTCCACCGAGCGAGTGAGCGGGTGCCGGGCTCCGGGACGCGCGGCGCGACACACCCTCCACCTCGGGGGCTGGCCCCCGCCCTTGCTGTCCCCTTTTGTCCACCCCCCTTTCTTCCGCGCGTCTTAACTCAGCCTCTCCACAGCGGCGGCCCCTACCCCTCTTTGAAACTGGCACTGCGGGCATGTGGGGTGCCCGGGTGGGGGCCTGAGCGGGGAGTTTGCCGTGTGCAAACAATTTCAAAGGTAGCATTTTCTTCCCTGCCCTGGAGTTCAGGCTCAGCAGCTACTTCACTTTAGGGTTGACTCAGAAATCTAAAGCCCACCTGCGGGGCGGTGTGGGAATTCCTTGCCTCCTTGATTGCAGACAGCTTGGCCCATTCCCAGTGGCACGGGAGCACTTCCACCAGGCAGGCATTCTCATGGCGCAAGGGTTACCCACAGGCCACCATTGCGTTCTTTGCACCCCTCTTTCCAGAAAAGTGTATCTGGTGCAGCTTGCCTAGATGTGAATGATCAACAGGTATTGAAGGCCTTTTTGACACTCTTCCTAAGGTGTTGTGTGTAAACAGAAGTTCCTGGACGCAAGGAACTTGAAACACAAGGAAAACAGCAATTAAGTTCATCTCCACTTTTGAGGGGCTGCTGCGTTCTCAGCACCATGCCAGTCTCTGGGAGATAAGAGGCACACAGGAGATCTAAGGCCTTAGAAAGCCTTCTGATCAGGTGGAAGTGATTTGAGAGCTTGAATTCAAATTAGTGTATATGCTGTCTAAGTTACTATAAATGCTGGGAGGCAGGGGGAATATCAAAGGAAAGGTTAGAGTTGGGGAATGGACTTAAGGGTACTAAATTATGAAATAAGTTATGCACCTGGAGAATAACTCGCTGGCAAAGTCCCAAAGACAAGAGAGGAAGTACAGGTGCAAGAGATCGCCAAGGGCCTTGGACCAGAGGAGAAAAGGCGCAAATAGGGAGGGAGGGAGGGAGGGAGGTTACAGAAAGATACGTAAGATGGTTCCCTCCAGGGCTTATCTCACGGAGGAGACAGGACTTGAGCATGTGAAGTAAGACCTCAGGGTAGAGCACAATTAACTGCAAAATGCAAGGTGCAGAGTGGGTGCTGTTGGAGTTAAGAGAATAGCCTTACGGGCAGGAATTGCCAGGACCACGTTCCTAGAGGAAGAGACCCTCCAGATGGGTCATGAGGTGCGGAGGGGTGGTTTTCCTGGCCTTGGGCAGACCAGGGAACGTTTCCTGAAAAGTAGGAGATAAATATGGAGAGGAACAATAGTTGGGATTGTGAAAGTCCTAGAAAGCCTGACTGGGGGCTTGCACTTTACCCTCTGTGTACTGGGGAGACAGTAAAGGTTTTGGAGCTAGAGAGTGATGAAATGACAGGGTATTTGGAAGCGTTTTCACAAGTAATAGTAGGAGGCAAATCAGTTGAACTGGGATAACTGGAAATGGAAAAGAGGATGGGATTTAGAAGCATTACTGCTGAAACAATCTGTTGACTGGCAGGGTGAAGGAAGGAGACGAATGGAAATTAATTCTTTGTGGGAAATTGATTACACGCCAGGGCCTCTGAGCTGCTGTAGTGGGTAACTGGAGAAATCGGAAATGTGTGTTTTGTAGAGAAGTAATTGACACTCAGGCTGCAGAGTTTCTCGTGCTTGCCAGAACATCCAAACATAGGTGTCCTGCAAGCAGCTGCAGCTCCGAGATTGGTGGGAGGTTGGTAATGTGAGAAAGGCTGCCAAAGCCAGGGCAGGGAAGGCCCTCCAACGATAAACGGGGTGTCTTTCTGGTCCCAGGAAGGCAGTAGAGGATGCCGGGGAGTGAGACTGAGGCTGTAAACCTCAAGGCTCTGTATTGCCATTCAGATGACATCTCCAGGTCCTGAACCTGAAGTCGGCAAAGCAACTCTGGGGGATCGAGGCTCCAAAGAGAAAGAGCCACTTCTTCTAACCATGAGGGTGGGATTGGAGATTGGAGGGAAGTAGAGTGGAATTTGCTAAACAGGTAAATTGTTGGGCTTTGAAACAAGTTGTATTTTGCTCTCCACGGAGACCTTCAGGCTAGTCCTGGTGTCCTTCCATAGGTGTGTGTGGATGTTGGGGGGAAACAACAAGATGCAGGAGCAAGGAGGGAATTCCCGGGGCCAGGTCTGTCCTGACCTGCACCCCTGCCCGTTCCCAGGAATCGAACAACCTGCTGGCAGAGAGGAGTTAGTGTTGTTTTCATGAACTCTGAATTCTGCTTTCTTGTTGTAAGGGTGACTTAGTGATTTGCTGAGCAAATTCCCCAGGCCTCCACTTGCAACATCTGAGGGCTGGTGAATTTAAAGGCTGATTGCAAAAAATTTCAGAATGAGCAGACTGTAATTGCAATCCCTTAGCCTCTGTTTCTCTGAGGTACAGGATCAGTGAACTAGCCCGGGAAGCTGACTTGCATGGGAGAGGCGCCCAGCAGATAGTTTTTCTTTATAAGGAATATGTGACTGCCAGAAAAATTGCATGAAGCAGTGGTTGAGCTAGTTTACTCTTTACAGAGTAATTGTTCCTGCACTGTTTTGACTGACCTACATTAACAAATAAAATTTACATCACAACCTACTACACTCAGTGGTTTGTGTAAAAATCTAAATTCACGAGGTACTACCTTCCTTTGCTTGGTGCGATCACCTCTGATACTTTTATTTTCTGTTCCAGTATTTTTCATGTAAAAATACTTATCGTCTCCCACTAAGTCGATTTAACCACTCCGTAATGGATCATAACCCACAGTTTAAAAAAGACAGTTACAGAAAATTTTCACATCTAGTAAGTAGTTCTGAGGCTGCTCATGTGCAGAGAGCTACCCTTGCTAGTGCTGTAGACGGAAGGAAGCATGAAGAGACTGAAAGTTTATGGGCCAGTTGGAAAGGGGTGATCTCCCTGTGATTAAAGAGCAAAGCCAGATGATTAACTGCCAACCAGGGAAAGTAAGTGCCTGTGGGGGCCTGAGGAGCAGGCAAGCAACCTGTGCTGGAGTGGATTGGAAAGGTTTTCTGGAATAGGGAAAGAAGTCTGGGTTGAATCCTTTGGGGTGTCTCGTGGTGCTGCACAGGTCGAGGGGCTGGGGGTGGTGGAACCCGGACAGAGATTTGGAGTTAGGGATGTACACTATGTGTGTAAGGAGTGAAAGGCAGGGTCCTTGTTAGAAGGTGGAAGTCAGGTTGGAAAGGTGGGTTAGGATCAAAACGTAATATAGGGGTTGTAATGGGTGGCCCAGAGAATGTGTTCAGCCTACAGACGTGTCATAATTTAGACTATACAAAATTTTCCAAAACTGGGAACAATCTAGAAAACCTCTGAGTTTGGGAATCTCTTCGGAAATCCCATCAGGCAGGCCTAGAGCTGAGTGGTGGCTGCCCTGGTGGGTGGGGGACATGCCTTGTGGTCCCCGGTTGTCATAGTTCCAGGGCTCTCTGCTGCATGAGTACAGGCACTTTACGTTCCCTGCTTGTCCTGCAGGCCTGTGGGTTTGGGACCCGAGTTTTCAAGAGACTTGAAAGCCAGTCCAGGGAATTTGGGACTGCTGCCCTGGGCTCTGGGTGGCCACTGGAGGGTTTGGGTAGGAATGGGACATGGAATCTGAGACACTTGTGTGCAGATGATCTGTTTCAGGCCAGTCAGCAGCACTTTCTGAGTTGCTGCTGGCTGGTACTTTGGAATATTTTTTCTGCTGATTGGTATGGTACTAATTAGAGTGTGCTTTGAGCTGTCTTCTCTGTTGTGAGGCCAATTTCTAGGGACCCCCAAGATCCCTCATGCTTTGCTGTTTCCCACTTATGGCTGGCATGGTGAGATAGCGGCTCCTGGC